GTCCAACTTCTTGGCTTCTCATCAGAACATACGATTACAAATGCTGTGACAACACAGTGGGGAACAGGCTCTGAGACAGTCAGCTTGCAGGGGGTCAGACAAGCCAGTCCAGGAAGAAGACAGAAAGTGAGACAAACATGCTGATGCTGCTTTTTGTTTTCTACGCATTCAACCTGCTTTAAGGGGTTTTCCATCACCACCAGGTGTATGACAAGAGTTTTCAGTTTATGTAGACTCATGCAATCAAACCAAAGGAAAGCTGCAAACGGGATATCTGTTAGTGGTTGGCAGAATGTAAAATGCAAACGGATCGCTGCCTTTCGCGTTAGTAACACAGTCCTCACGCAAGCTCCTTTTGCTTCTTATCAAAGAAATTCTTTGCCAGCTAAAAAGGTCCCAGCTGGCAAGTTAGACTGCTTCTGGAACGAAGCACAAGTGCTAGATGACAGAGAGGATAGCTTACAATTGTCCTGGATTGTCTGGGGCAGTGGCAGCAGCAGTGCCCCCGGGGTCCCGCGGGGGGGGAACGCTGCCCTTGGAGCCCCCGCCCCGCGAGACGGCTCCTGCGGCTCCTCTCATTGGCACCCTGCTGCTGTGCCCCGGCAGGGCAGGGGGATGCCAATCAGAGGGGCAAGAAAGGAAGAGAAAAGGAGGGTGGTGGGGAGGATAGGAGGACAGACGTGGAAAGGGGAAAGAGGAAAAACAAGAAGGTTGGGGAGAGGAGAGAGAAACAACAGTCAGTTAATCGTCTGAACCAAACATACCACCGAATACACCCGCGCCACGTTTAAAGCTGTTCCTCAGCCCCATCTCTCCTCCTAGCTCTCCATCCTAAAGCTGCGACTGCTGGTGGGGACAGTTTACCTTGGGTCCCCCACAAAAATACCAGACCATCATTTATTTCAAGTCCTGCAAGTAAAAGCTATCATGGAACTTCCACATCCCTCCAAGATACTTGCAGAATCTTTCTTTTCCTTATGTAAATGAGACAGAAAAAGCACATTTGATGAAGGGCTTTTTTCTTTTCTAAGGAAAAACCTTAACATAACCCCCAAGTTTGTCATATTTAAGGGTTTTTTTCCCCTTTACAGTCATTAAATAACTCTGCCCAATTTGCTTACGGGCCCCATCCCCTGGGGATCTGGAGAAGACTCAAGTCATATGGATTTCCTTTTCAGCTTGCTGGAGATGCCAAGGTGCTAAGCCCAGGGCACAGGTGAGGCAGCAGCAGAGGGTGCACAGCAGCTGCTCCAAGCTGCAGCAGGCTTGGATTGAGTGTCACATCAGATCTGTCCTGCTACACTTTCTCACGAGGGAGGAGAGAAGGGACAAGGATTGCTGACTCCTCTCTTCTGACAGCAAGACAGCAGAGCAAGTCCTTCTGTTAATTCTGGGGGAGTCACTCGTGAGTTGTTGATTCCTCTCCAGAAGGGTGGTGTCTGTTGCAAAGCTCCCCCCTCACAGCCCAGCACTGCCTCTCCTGTCTCCCAACCATACACCTGCAATGCCTTCAGAAGTCACACTATAGTCCCTGAGATCAGACACCTCCTGAATTATACAATGATTTGTTATTCCCACAGAGAAAATGCACTTGGAGTTATTTATATTCACCACTCTTAATATTAGAGAAGTAGAGAGCCCTGCAAGCTTATTCTAGCCAGCACAAAGGTTAAAAAGATGGAAATGTAGCTATAATGCAGAGGAAAAGAAAACTGCCATCTTCCTGAAACTGTCCCCTAGGTGTCATACAGTACCTTTGATGGCTATTTGTATAACATAAGCAGGGAAATAACTTTAAGAAACAATCCACCTTCTGAATACTACTATTTAAAGGAAGAAAACCAGCAAGGTTAAAGTCCTGGCCCCCATGAAGGAGCACAGAGCAACAGCCCCAGCTATTCCTGTCTCTTGCATAACCTAGAAGCTTCTTTTTCCCTCTCTTTTATTTTTTTTTCCCTTAATTATGTTAATTACTTTGTTTAATTCTGGGTTTCTATCTACTATACCTATGAACTCCTCACAAATTTTCCTCTCAGACACACAATGGAAATACAGCAAGGGGGACACTTCCTCTTCCTGAGAACCCCACTGCATTCTGCAATGAGGTGGACCAGCACTTTTTCAGGTCTTGTGACTAACTCACCTTGTCTGTCTGAAACTGCTTTACAGCTTCCAGCATAACTGTCAGGATTTAGGCAGCCTGCCATCAATCTCAGTGCACAGGTCCCATCTAATGCACAGTCTGGGGAGTCTTCATACACACACATGGCCCAGTTGTAAGAGAAAAGATTGGGGATTTTGAATATTTTCTCCAGACAATCTTTCCCCTCAGAAGACTACCAGGTTTTCCCACATACCTGCCTCAAAGAGAATGGATTACACCCTCTTAGTTCCCTTCTTCATATCTGAAGGGACTGGGAGAGGCTACTCCAGCTCTGCCTTTGGCAGAAAATGTGAAATTTTGTGAACTGGCTTCACTATTACTTGTTGCCATCTCACTCAGCCCTGTGCACAGAGATTTCAAGACTCCACATCCCAAAGACCCACTGACTTAGAACTCAGATTTTTCTGACAGGTGAGTACTTGCAGATGTTTAATTTCATCTGTCTTGATCGACTGTCACTTTGGACCCTTGCAGGTGCAAAGAGAAGTCTCCCCAGTGCTTTCAGGGAGCTCTTAGAAAGTGGCCAGTCAAACCCTTCATGAGCTGCTCAGAGAAGATGAAATCTGGCCCAGCTATGAAGCTTGCCCCATAATTTGTACAGTTTACAAGAGAAGTCAGCTTCACTTTGAAGCACTCGTTATTTAAAGCTTCAAGACTCTGCTTATATTATGCACATATTGGTACAACTGTGGCCAAAAATTGAAGTTTTTGACAACTGCAGTAGCCAACACATTAATCTCATCTTACTGCATCCAAACCCCAGTACCTCCCACAGCTTAAGGCCCTATCCCAGCACCCAACCCTCAGAAACTGCAGCTTTGCCTACATTTCACCATAACATTTCTAATTGTTTGATGATAATTTTTGGTAATTTATATTAATCTGATGAAGAAAGGGAAGTGACTATCTTTGACTAACAAGCTATATGGGAAAAGTATGGCATCTGTCAGCAAATGTACCACAACAGCAAATTCCAAACACCAAAGATGCCATTTTAAAAAGGACATATAAGAAAATGTGTAAGTAGCTGTGACTCTGTAGAAATGGCCAGTTACAAGGGATTATTTTTAAGGTATTCTAAAGGGAAGTACAAAACTATTGATTACACAGAGACAGTGAGAGGAAGAAAGATGTGGAGAAAATAGCAACCTTGCTCCCTTCTTGCTCCCTTCAGCATAGAACCTGTTAGGTGATAGATTATTCCTTCAGGCAATTTTCATGTACAGTCATTAGGAAGAGACTACTATGGAAATTGGAGGCAACCTCACTGCAGGGGAGGTGTCTACCCATTTAATTGGGCCCACCAGCTACAAACAGAGTGGGTAGTGTGGAAACACCAGAGGAGCTCCCAGCCTCCCTGTTGCTTTGCAGAGCTGGGTAGCACAAATCCTGGTTTCCCTGTGTGTGCTGGGGATTACCAGTGTTAGTGTGACAGCAGGAAGCCAGCTCCCTTTGTCTCGTTAGGTCCTGCTTTGCAGGTACTGTATGCTTTGTTCAAAAGGCTGCAAAATGCCAAGGGCTTCTTCATTTGAGAGGTGCCTTCCTCCACAGCAACACAGCAGACAAAGCTCCATCAGTGATCTTCACTTCTGGACTGAAAATAGTGCTGAAAAGCTGCAGAAGAGACTGATGCTTCTGTTCACATTGCTGGTAATTCATGAGTACAAAACAACTGTAAACCCAGCTTAATTGGTCAATTAAACTAAACTTACAGTTGCTTTTGCATCATCAAAGCAGAATAAAGCAGCTGGAAGGTATGAGGGTTGCTGGTGTAAAACATCTGGCCACTGTACCACTGGCACTTGCTATTTCATGGGTAATAATTTACTGGTATTAGCCTAAAAGTATTTTTTGTTTCTTTTTTTCAACTCCACCTCAAAATATTTATATTTAATAGTTAATACACTATGCCTTTTTATAGAAAAATGGAGGAGCAAAGCCTTTATATGAGTGAAAACATGCAAAGAGATAACCTTAAAAGGGGAAAAGAAATGGTTATGGTCCAACATTTACTTGAAAAAAATCACTAATCCTCTGCTGCATGTTTTTTTTTAAACCACTGTGATAAAAAAAGGGTGCAATATTTTTGTTCTCATTTTTCACACCAAACATTTGTCCTCCTCTTCAAATATCGAGTGAAAAAACCTGAATTGGTACTTTCAGCCCGTGAGAGGGACATTGTCCATGCTCTGGGACAGGAGCAGCACCAAGGCAGCTCTCCACAGCTTTCTCTTCTTGCTGTCCCAGCCTCCTCCCACACACAGCTCTCATCTTCTGCACCACCTGCAGCAGGGGCCCTACAGTGCACCACGCTCACTTCTGTGCTGAGCTCTTACCTTGTCTCTTCACTGGCCTCTCCACTGCTGTTCTCCTTCCAGCTTATTGTTTTCAGAATTATTCAGCCTAAGGCCAAAGTGTGCCACAGGGAATTTCAGCTTTAATAGCAACAACCTGATGCAGCTATAAGCGACTGAAAATCTTTCAAGGAAAACATCACCAGAAGCCTTAGCTACAAAGTATTTAGAGGCTCTCTCTGTGCCAGACCTCCTCCTGCAGACACACGAACAGCTACACGCTCTAGTGAGCACAGAACAGAACTGCTTCTGAGAACTGCAGAGGGGAACAGTGTTTTCACTTACAAAACAAGTGTTTTACTTACATATACATATTTTGCTTCATCACATGAACATGTTGTACCCTGTGAATACCACTTCAAATGTTATCTTGTGAATTTAAACATTCCTGCCTTGTTTCTAAGGACTAATTTCAGCCGAATGAAAAGAGATTCAAAAGAATGCAATGTACATTTGGAAACCAACACCTTTGTGTGACATACCTCTCTTCTACTGAAACTTCCTTCAGCTGCTGATGTGGTTTTGTCCCTTCCATTTCTCGGATGCTTACTGCATAGATCTTAGTGGTATAGTCAATTGCTTTTTCTCTTGCAACATCACTATCATAACCTTAGGAAAATAAAACATAAAATAAAACAAACTGCCCTTGTTTCATAGTGCAAGAGTAGAAAACAAGAAGATCTGCACCAATAAAAGGATGGACACAAATCCTGCCAAGCTCTTCCTACACTGAACTGGAGCACATGAAAGTTTCTTGCCCATTTCAAGCTAAAGGCCTGTGTGAGTCTCTGTGGAACGAGGGCTAAATTAAAGACGCGTTTTATACAATCCTTTTTACCTCCATCTTCTTCTGCATCTGTGTCTGATTCTTCACTATCAACCAGCTTACTCTCCTGAATGCCCAGAAATTCTCTGGTCCAGATCATCAAAGCTGTATCAGCACCACCTACAGTCAGCAGCACAGAATCATTGTGTAACCACCTCACGTTGGTTACCTGCGCGCTGTGACCCACGTACTTCTTGAATTTCGCGTGTTGGCCCTGGAGCACAAAGAATCCACACATCAGCAGGCTGACAGGCTGCAAACAGCACCTCCCTCAACGCCTTTTCTTGCCTCTAATTACAGAAACAACTAAATACACTTCTTACCTTCACTGGATATGAGAAAAGCTTCACGAAACCAAAATCATCTCCTGTGGCTAGCAGTGTTCCGTCTTTTGTCAGACTCGCTGCGTTCACAACGGTGACATCGCTGTGCTTGGGCCAAATTCCCTCACAGGTGGGGCCAAGAACACACGTCCAGGTATCCCACTCAATCTTCTCTATCTGCAACCAAAGTTTCCCCAACAGAAGTCATCTTAATGCATACCAAATACACGTTGCTTTCATCTGTATATTTTTCTCTGTTTGAGATGAATTTTTTAAACATTTTAGAAACTGTTCACTGTTTCCAGCTTGTTAATACAAGCTACTTATCTCCAGTTTGAAGCTTTAAACACTCCCACTTTCCCAACATAGAGTATGATCTGGATGCAAATCTCCTGAAAGATTTTCTGAGGTGCTAAACATTGGCAATTTTGTAGAATAAATATCCCAAATAAACAACATCATTAAAAGCCAGGTCATACTGTTTAAAGGTGGTTGGTTTATAACATGGATCACACAGAAAACAGGTGACTGTTAAGGAAAAGGGACTATGGGAAATAAGCACTACTAAAAAACAATAAATTCAGAGAAACAAAGAGAAACTTGTAAGTTCTACCATTCAAAATGCTAGGAAAGGTGCTACACAGGATGATTAAGCAATTCTAATTCTAACCAGTGTAAATACAGTATTTAAAAGAAGAAAAGATAGCATTTGAAGACAAAATATGCTAATTTTCAACAGTCCAGAAAAAATTCTTTTCACAGTAAAAAAATGCAGTAAGCGTAATTCCTACCTCAGTAATTCTTATAATATGCCTTTTTCCCCTTGGTGCTTCAAAAAAGAGCTGCTCTTTGGCACCAGAATTGACTTGCAGTAATTTTCCTGGAATGGAAATAAGAGCTTATTATGAATCTCATTCATTATTATGAATAGTATGAACTTTCCTTTGATTGAATTAAATGATTTAAAGCAGTAAGATAAGAAATTAGCCTCCAGAGAGTTATTCACAGCAAAAGTAAAGCAGATGCTTGGAATCACTCTCATAAGAATCTTATACTCTTGAGTCACCACAGAAGTAATATTTTGAATACTATCCAACATCCTTAAAAAACTACTGTCTTGTAGGGAATCACTTTCATCTGATAAATATTAGACTTATGTTCTCATCATCAGGACAATGGAAAGAAAAAAAAATAAATGCATATGCTATTAATTTTCAAAACAATTTTATGAGATAGCTTTGCCAGAAGGTAAAACTACTGTAATCTCCTGTTGATTTTGCATTGCCTAGCTGGCATACAGTCTGGCTGCACACCAAACTGTCTTCTCACAGGGAGCCTACCACACCCATACAAATCCTGGGAGTTTATGAAGATAATCCTGCATGCAACTGGTAGTATGTTAGCAAGCATTTGTGCATGAAGAAGCAAAAAATGCTTTCAGATTCACATTTACAATATCTCTGATAAAAGAAAATGAAAGGTATTTTCTTATTTTTTTCAAATGATAACAACTACACTAGTAAAAGAAATCCTGAGGAGATTTATTATTGTAAAAGTATTTCTACAATATCTAACTGCATGCTGCCAGGGGAAGCACACTTCCCCAGAAACACTGGCTGTGATTATCTGCTGGTACAGACCAGCACAGTTCAAACATCTTGCATGGGCATCTAGAGATCCTGCTGTTGGCAGTGAGCTTTTAGGACTAGCACAGGAGGGAAGCAGGGCTCAGACACACAGGTGGTTCCCCACAGAATCACTTTAGGTCTGGGAAGGCTCATTTGCACGAGCTCATTATGGATCCTGCTAACCCTGAACTAGTTGTGACAATCAGGGCAGCCACTGCCACGTAACGCTCTGCAAAGAAGAAACATCTAGAGCTCCTGCTGTTGGCAGTGAGCTTGCACCCTGTTTTAGGACTAGCACAGGAGGGAAGCAGGGCTCAGACACACAGGTGGTTCCCCACAGAATCACTTTAGGTCTGGGAAGGCTCATTTGCACGAGCTCATTATGGATCCTGCTAACCCTGAACTAGTTGTGACAATCAGGGCAGCCACTGCCACGTAACGCTCTGCAAAGAAGAAAGGAAGCTGGATGTATAAGATGGGAAAGAAAAGTGGGCCACACACTGCAAAACTAGAAGAACAGGGCAAGGAAAAGCAGCATTGTGTTCCTAAGTGACATTTTAGTCATATGCAGTCAGCAGGGAAGTACCACATGCTCTGGTACAATTGCTATAAAGCAAGGATGAATTCCACCAACAACTGGAATTGCACTCAGCCCATTTGGTGCTCGGTGCTGGGAAGTCATTGTGTTAGTCGTTACAGTTTATCTCAGGAACTGTAGGAGAGCAGCTATCTGCCATCCTGTCTCACAGGCACTTTCAGCCTGTGCCTCTGGCCCCCCACGTTACCTCTCGAGTCCCAGTCGATGTGTGTGATGTAGCTGGATGCACCTTTGCAAATCCCCACTCTCTTGCTGGTAAGCACATTGTAAATATCTACAAAGTTGTCGTGGGAAGCCACAGCCAGGTACTTTCCTGATTCTGCACAGAAGAGACACTGAGGTTACTAAAGGTGTGCATGTGGGAGCTGCACTGTTATGCATTCTCAGTACCATAGTGCACCATAGCACAGCAGTTCTGGTGCATGCAGCCACACAAGGCTGTGCAGTACCCAAACACACGGAGCGCAGGCAGAGCCAGTCTGCCTTCCAAACACTCCAGCCCTGCCTGGAGGAAAGCAAACCCCACGACACACGCTGCCCTTCCTCCTCAGCCCCGGATCCTACCTCGGGAAAACTTGATATCCGAGATCATCTCCTTTCTGTGGTGAAAGGAGACCATGTCCTCCACAGTGTCAGCGTTGACCACCAGGAAGCTGCCGTCGTTCAGCCCCACCGCCAAGGCCTTGCCGTCCGGGGAGAAGGCACAGCAGCGGCCACCTGTGACAGCAAGGAACAGCCCGAGGGCCAGCTCAGCCAGGGCCCAACTGGGACCAGGGAAACCAGCCACGAGCTGCAGCCCGAAGGCTGTTACATCAACTAGGTGAGGTTTAACTAAAGGGGAATGCAGCCTCTGGAAAGACTGTCCTTGAGTTGACAATGGTGATTTGATCAGTCCTGATATGGGGTTAGGTGCAAACACCACCTTCCAACTACGCTCTAAACACACCAACGATAGAAATGAAGTTTAAAAAAGGAAACAAACCACCACAAATTGAAAACATACAGAAAGGATACCCAGATGGAGAATTCAAAGACTCATGATGGGCAGCATGAACTGCATGTCTTTCTGGATACTACACCTGAAAGCTTCTCTGTTATATGACTAATAGTTCCTTTCAGGTGAAGCATGTTTAAATCAGAGACATACTACACTCCCTTCTCATCCTTTTTGCCTAACCATTATTTCTGACCACACTCTCTCATACAGCTATCCTCACCTGAACCTGAGTGCACGTCTCCAAAACATCTGACCCCTTCCCCTCAGCCAGTGAGAGGTCCTATGCTCTGGATCTGCTACTGAAAATGAAGCACGTTCAACTCACACCATAACATCTCCTGAAGGAATTCAATGAGTAAATGAAATAAGCAGGTTTGAGAAGGCACAGCTCATCTACTTCTGTACAGAGGACAGAGCAGGAAAATGGTTCATCTTCAGAGAAGCTGGCATAACATATAATTGGCATTGCCACTGCAGGGTGGTTGTGTTCAACAAGCAGAAAACTTTACATTTGTCTTTATAAGGAAGATTTTTAATGTCAGCCACAAATATGCTGGTCTTAAAAATTCTTAGCAAGGAAAATGATCCTGAAGTCAACTCATTCCCCTCAGAATCAAAGGAAAATAGATTAGAGTTCATTTTACTATTATCCCTTACAATAGATTATAATCATTTTTCTTTCTACCCTTTTCATTGACCTGACAGATGCCAAAGACAATTTACTTTCTATGCTTCCAATTTCTTAACGACCATATCCTCTTCCTACCTAATTAATGCCTGTGATGTGCACTGAAAGCACAGATGGAACTGTTACAGACACAGAGTGGTATCACTGCTATCAGGCCAAGTGAGAATTACCTTTTTTGAGTTTCCTCACTGCCAGCATGCGGTGCTGGGATGACAGTTCCCAGATTCGGAGTGTTTTATCATCACTCACTGTCGCACAGACAGGCAAGAGAGGATGAGCTGCCAAGCCCCAGACTTCTCCTTCCATATGTCCCTGAAGGAAATCATTTAATGTAAGAGAAGACAATGCCTTTGGGTTTATGTAACATGTTCTAGCACTTGCCCTGTCTCATTTCACAAGTCTAAGGCAACAAGGCTTTCGCCATCTCCTCTCAGAATTTTTCCACATGCAAAGAGACCTGAAGGCCCAGTCTGTTTCCTCTGATAAGCATCTAAACTGTACACTTCCCTTGTCTCCTCCACTGCTAAAATTGTCATTCCTGTTCTTCCAACGCTCTCCCTCCAGACTTGGAATGAACAGGAAATTGTTATGACCCAACAGGACTTTATCCTACAATCCTAGCATGGGCTAACCTGTCCTCAAGGGTTATGTCATTGTTTAGATCTTGGAGAACTTGCTTGCCCAACATAGACACATTTAGTTCTTCTCACCTCTCCTCAGAACTCAGTTTTCAGACTTTTAATCACTCATCCTGTTTTTTGGTTGGTTGGTTGGTTTTTTGTCCTGTTTTTTGGTTGTTTGGTTGTTTTTTTTCTAGATTTCCTTCAACTTGCACACAGCTTGCCAGCACTGTATTTTCTAGATTTCCTTCAACCTGCACACAGCTTGCCAGCACTGTATTTTCAAGGTTAAATCAGTTGTTACTGTTCTCAGGCTACATTTCAGTTTGATAACTGGCTTTTTTGTTGAGGTGGAAAAATACCATTACAATAAAACCAGAACTGTCCTGACATCTTGATCACACCTTATGTATTTTCTATTTTGGCTGAAGTTGATGTGTACAAGCATGTCATTTAAACTGGATGACAATTACAGCCCTTGTCTTTATCAGTCAACTCACAGCTATTGGGTAGTTTTACTATCTCAGCACCTTAGTATTCCTGTGAAGGATGAACCTGCACTTCCAAATTGTGAACGAGTTTGATTCATAACATACAACTTTGCACATTTAGGTTAGTAAGGCTGCCATGCAGGCCATACAAACTTGAAAGATTGCTGTATGTGATCAGAACTAACTGGAGAGAAAAATGCCAAAGAAACAATAGCTTTGTAAAAAACATGTTCAATATAAAAACAAAAAGTAAAATCCTGACAAGTCATAACTCAGTAAATGATATATGCAGTTTTCTATGACATTAGGGTTACTCAAGACATTAGACCAAAGCAATATCAAATCCATCAGTGAACATATATAAGAAAAAAATTTAACATAAACTTGCAAAATACTTTGTCTTGCAAGAAGTCTGTTTATGCTTTGCAACACATGCACTGAAAAGTGTGTATCCCTGCAGGGAGCTATCATAAGTCTAAAACAATTTTTCACACATTGAAGTATAGGATCCTTCAGAATACACTGTATTATTTCAATAAAAGCAAACAAACACAACTACACTGTCAAAATGAAACAAATTATGTTAGCCCTGCTCTTGTTTTTTTTCATTTTTATGTTGAGTCCTAAAAGAAAATGTCTAAAAAAATTCATACAAAGACTCATCAGCCTTTGAATTTCATGGACTGTTTGTTTTACCTCCAGAATTCTGTAATCCACAGTGAATCTCAAAGTCATTTACCCAAGAAAGCATCACCTTCTGTCTGGGCAACGAAAGCAACCGTGGCCAGAGCGGTAATGGAAAGGGAAAGAAAGTGTCTGGGAAGATCTCATAGTGTCTTGTATTTCTACAGGGAGTTATTTTGGTCTGAAGATCCATACGTTACCTGAACAAGTAGTGTCATAGGGCCACTTTTATCAATTTCAAGTACCTCTCCATTTTTAGTTCCCACTAGTATATGTCCATGTCCTAGACTGATGGCTCGAATGGAGGGATTGTCTTCTAAAAGTAAACCTGAAGAGTAAAACACATCATTTTTAGCTTTTTACTGTGAAATCAAAAGGAGCCTCCTATCCCCTATAATTCACACAGCTTATATCACCTATAATAAAATCTGTTTAAAATCCTGAAACATGAGATACAGTTGCCTGATCAAACTACTACATAATCCATGCATTTAATGCATGCAGTCCTTATTTGATATTAATTGCTAATAGTCCATATTAAAACACACTAAAAAGGATACCTTTAGAACTAGCAGATAGTGCAGCTCTTTTAATAGCATACGTCTTCAGACATCTTTCAAACATATCATCCCACAGGGCCACAATTCCATCCTTTCCACCAGTTACAAACCCCTGTTTAATCACAGTATGAAATCACACACAAATGTCAGCACTTATATGTTAACATTTTAAAAGACATGTCCAAAGGCAGCATAAATTCTCTCCTGCATTTTATTCTTGTGTCCAATTAAAAATACTGGAGCCTATAACTATGAAGAGAAACTATAAGGGGAGAAGATTTAAAGAGTTTCTTTCCTAGGGTTATAGACTTATAACCACACAGAGTGCATGCTATTGAAAACAGGAATGCTGGACCATAACAGTTTTCTGGAAATAAGTTAGGGAAAAATATGTGCTTCATCCTTAGAAGAAGCAGCAATTGGTAATAACAGCTTCTCAACTTATTCCAAATTCAATGGATTTAACAGATGCTTCAAACTGAGTTCAAATAATTCACAGGGACCAATTCTTTGATTAATTCCCTTGTTAGATGCTCTTTATCTGTGCCAAGTGAGTGCAAAACATGGCATAAACAACTTACCAACAGAAATGTAAGAAGATAAGAGTGTGAAGATCAAACAGAAAAAATTGATAGCAAAGCTAGGAACAATCAATTAGGACCAGAAATGATTGAGCCACAGGGATCTTAACTGACCTGGATATATAAAAATGTTAATAGCTAGTATTCTTCTCATGCTGTACCTTTAAAGTTGAAACTATAATTTCAACTAAAGGATATTAAAGGAAACTAAAAGGATATTCCATTATCAACATTTTCAAACTGCCAGTGAATTTCAAGTGGTAATACTTTGCACCAACCTCATTTATGTGACATCAATAATATATTTTGTCACAGTTCCTTTTAAAAAATGTATTGATGCAACTGAAGGAGAATGCTTTTGCTATCTGGAATAATTAACTGGGAAAAACAAAACCTTGGGATATAGGAAGTCTTTTTTGCTTAAGAAACAGCAATAATTACTTAAAAAATCATGTTTCCTATTTTGGAAAGTGATAATGCATGGGTATTTTGGGGGTCAGGTTGAAGAGGCAGTGAATGTGACCTGTTACTCTCCTGTGGTGTAGAAATATGCAAATGACATGCACAAGCACAGTGAGAAATAAATCCAACATACTTAGGTCAGAAAGCTATTGGTCAGGTAATGAGCACATGTAATGTGGTGCTTACAGACACACTGTTATATAGGTTTACTATATAGATCTATTAAATAACAGACCTCACTAATACTGGTTTTGTGATTTCAATCACATTCAGATTCATCCAGTGCAACTTGTTTTCTGATATGGTTCCATTTACTTCATCACCTTCAAAATGTTAATGCAGTCCTTAAATACACAGGCACATGTAACATGAGTAACTTCCTTGGAAGACGTGGTAGTTACACACTTCCAAATCCAGTTTTGCACCAGAAACACTACAGATGAATGGATCATGTAGGTTGAGAAATACCTTATCCAGTGCATGCATGGCAAATACTGGCCCATCGTGGGCTTTCACTGTCTTAAGCAACAGAGTATCCTTCCAGATGTAGATGTCTCCAGTAGCAGCCCCAGAGAACACCAGGTCGTCTAGTCGCCCGTAGGAAACACTCATCATGGTTTCCAGTTTCCCAGTAGTTCCAAATGTTCCTCGTTTTGATGTAAAGCCTCCACCTGCAACGTGAACAAAAGGAAGTGTCTTTATATATCCATGTGTAGCTGTAGTGCTCTGAGGGACAAATTCTTGTGATTGCTTCAGACATGGTAGGTAACAGATGTACTGAAAACATGGTGCCCAGGGGAAAACCAGCACCAGCACATCATTCCAGCAGCAACAGCTCTGAAGCATGACAGGCTCTATTCTTCACATTGTTTCCAAGCAAACGATACATTTTGGTGAGGAATTGTTCAACATGAATTAATACAATGGCTGGCAGAAGATTTTTTGCACAGAACAGCCTGCTGAGCCCCTGCCAAACTTTTTTCCCTTTAAAGGGGATGACAACTACAAATAAGACACCAGAGGTTTGGTTTAGTTGTCCCCTGGCAGCCTGAACAGTTTGGCAGCAGTTTTGCAGAATGAAATGGCAGGATTTGATCCTCTTCCAGTTTCAGAGAACCAAATGGGCACAGCCTCACTGTGAGTCAGACAGCAGGAAACAGCCCCATGTGCCCTGAACTGAGTGCTCATAGACAAAAATACCCATCCAATCACAACCACACAGATGGGTGTCCTTGTGTTGAGTCACTGTATTTCACAGTGAACACCACACTGATATTCCCAATGACCCTGAGCAAATCTCAATCCAAACCACACAATTTTTATCACAGAGACTGTTCCTGGAGTAAGGTACTGCTTAATGCAAATTCCTGTAACAGAATTTGGCAAACAGCAATGCAAACCTATTTAATTACTACAAAATAACCTAAGTATTAAAAACACAGAAAAAAATTTGTAATTTTTCAACTGAGAGCACCTGAACCACTTGAATGCTGTGAAATATGGTATAAGTACAGGAACTCCTTGAAACTATCTAATTCTGAGCTGCCTTGAGTTCTGTTTTCAGCTGCCCTTGTGCTGCCTACCTTTGCTGAATTTTACACACAGAAGACACTCTCCAAGCTCTTTTTACCAAGTCCTTGTGTAGTGTCTACTACAGCATGATTTTCAGCCCAATGGATAAAATATAAATTGCTGTAACTGAACTTCTGCAAAATACCTGGTTCTTTATTTCTTTTTTTTGCACTGCCCAGACACATATTTTAAAGTCTGTCCTGAAAGGTATCTTTCCAGCCTGGCACCTTGACACGTGTGCCTCCACCTCTGGAAGTCCTCTCTGCTGAGTGAAGAACAGCTCTGTCCTGAAGCTGCAGGGCTGCTGAAGTGTTCCCTCAGCCTGCCAGAGCCACCTCAGCACCTCAGCTCCCAGCTGCCCTTTTCAAACACGGGTCATAGGCTGCTGAAGTAAATTACAGGCCTGCATGTCTTCTGAGAGCTGAGGATGCTTGCTCAGGAGAAATCTTGGATAGTATGACTAGAGTTAAAAAACAATTAGCTGAAAACAGCTTCTGAAGACATATGCTGATTCAGAGGTAGATTTTGACCCCTTTGGTATATTTATAATCATGAAATTGCTTTACAAATTAAACAAATTCTTAAACTGAGAATGTAATGTCCTTGTGCTCAAAAAATATATCCTCAAATAAATTAAGCACAAAATATTCAATACAGTACCTGTTTGCTGCCAAAATTTGATGTGCTTTATCCCAACAGTGACTAGTTTGTCTACATGATGTGGATTGCACTTCACCACAAATATTTTATCCTTATGGCCCCTGCAGGAAAAATAAGCATTAAAAAACACAGTAAAGGTGGAGTTGACATTTCAAACCCATTTGTTTTCAACAGGCATTTCATCATATTGGACTAATCAAACCAAACCTCTATCAGCAAGAGTCTAATCACCATGACTGTCATATTTTTGGTGCCAATACAACAGTATGGGTGTATCCCAGTACAAGGACTGGCAGACAAATCACAGAGGCTGTGTCTACATTGTCTCTGCCACCATTACCCTATCTAACAAACCCAGCCATATTTCTAACCTGCATGTCTGCCCCACAGAGCTGGCAGGATGTATCTGAGCACACACTGTATGGGAGTTAGACCACAGAAACCTGGGGAATAAAACTGCCTCCCACTGAATTTCAATTCAGTCACAATGAAGAAGCAGGCAACACAGGTCAATGCAATTAAAAAAAGTATAAAGGGCAGCATAAATATTTAAATGAGTAAGGACTCAATAAATATTTAAAACTCTCTGTCAAGAAAAAAAAAAGGAAATCTTTAACCTATTGTGTTTCAAGAGGAAATATTAAATAATTGTAGAATCACAGAATGGTTTGGGTTGAAAGGGACCTTAAAGATCATCTAGCTCCAAACCTCCTTCTATGGGCAGGGACACCTCCCACTAGAAGCCTCCATAACAAATGATAACATTATAATTTAGGAATTAGTTCATTCACCAGGATATACACTTCCAAATTTAGTTCTCAGGTAATTATCCTTGTTTGAGTAAGTATTTGTGGGAATTTGTAAGCTTAAGTTTCACTGATGAAAAACATATTCCCAAATGCAAAGTAGTAATTCAGTTATTTTGGTGTTTTAGGAAAGATAAAAGCACTAGCATCTCCATCTGAATTTTGAGGTTTTGGACTAAGATCACATCACTTCCATCTGACAGGTTTCACAGATCTCAAAAATCACATGGATCTGATAACACTCTTGGTTTCAGCATTTGCTTTTGGTGAATCAGCCCAGATGAAAGCCAGCCCCTTACACCTTTCACATCTAAGTGTATCTTCCTGGAATTCCTCCTCCTCCCATTCCTCTGCTTTGCTACAGTGATGCCCAGGCTTCAGCTCAGGCTGCTTATCCTGCTTCCTCTGACAGCACCTACCACACGGGCAGAACGAACTGCCCCAAGTCCAAAATCCAGCTGCTGCTCCCCAGAGAGGTGAGCCCTGTCAGAGGACAAGTGTGTGCCCACCTGTGTGATGGGATGAACAGAGCTCAGCCAGGACATCTGGACTGTAGGGCTGAGGTTTCCACCCCAACTTCCTGCAACACCCAGAGCAAACCCGTGTTGATCTGGTGTCCTTGTGTTCCAAAGGATGGGCACAGGACGTTTGCTCTCACAGGATGAGGAAGGGAGAAGAGCACGATGGTCCCCATCCAGATTGTAAATAAACTGGACAATGCTCCCCTCAGCTCCCTGAGGGATTGCAGCACACTACCACAAACCACTGGGATCAAACAGCACCAGTACTGCATCCGCATGTCAGCCATGGGAAGAGTGAAAGAAGCTCAGATCTGGTTTTATTCTAACAGTGTACACCCACTCAATAAGGATTTTAACTTAACTAGACAGAAGACTGCAGAGCCAAGACAGGGAAACAAGCTTTAAAATTTATCTAGTCAGTAATTAAAAGAAAAAAGATACTATATTCTGAGTATTGTGACAATAGAGAAGCTATGCTGAAATAAATCATCCTAAACAGATTAAGCCAAAAGAATATTCACAACAAATAAATATAAATTAACTACAAAGTAAACATAATGAAAGTTTGTATATAGTGAATGTACAATTCATTTTTCAGCTCTAGTCCATTAGCTGGATTCTTCTTCTGGGTCTATGTGATTGTCAGCAGATGTCCTTCTCTTCTTCTTGTCTAATAAGGCTGCATGAGGGTGATGTCTAAAATTCAGATGTAAACTCTCCTGCCTGGGTTTTGTTTCTGTCTCTGTCCTACTGTGCTTACCAGAATGGGGGCCTTGTCTTCAGCCACTGCTACAGTATAAACAATAATTTAAATCAGAACTTTCTAGGAGAGAAACTATTTTTTATGCTCTTTGTGAGGACCCAGCATATTTTGAAAGTAACAGCTCAGCAGTAATAGCAGATACAAGGGGTACACAGTGTTAGACACTGAAAAGAACCCAAGTACTTCATCTCACTGCTCCTCTGTGATCAACAAGAGGCAGGTAGCTGTACAGCCCCCTGTTATCTAGTTTTTAAAAGCTTACAAGGTCTCTATGGAAATATATAAGGTATTTCTTCACTTGTGAGTCTGAAGCACAATCTGCCTGCAGCCAGGAAAACTAGGATCGGAAAGCAAAGGCAAATGTCACGGTTACAACACAACCACTGTTGCTAAGGAAGCCCAACACCACAAATTTTATAAAGGCTTTTAAATCTTGCTGCCTAATGAACTGGATGTCTGAGACAAAATTACATAGCTAGTACAGATTATGGTATACCCCCCCCCCCCCCGGATAAAAATGTTTATTTATTTAGCAGTGGTATACTACTGCCAGATGGTGCTGTCAGGAGACATCTCACCATTTCTTCTGGAACACCTCACCACAGAACAGCACTAATAGTGTAAAACTAACACAAAAGCAAATGACCTTTGGCAGGCACTTTTTGGCAGTTATCCTGGTAATTTCAACACCAGGTATTCCACAGGGGCAGACAGCACAGGAAGTGAACTCCTTGCCCTTCTGGTACATATATATGTGTCCATGCTTACGTGAATTCTACACAGTTCCAGTGTCTTGACCTCAGAGTTATGTTTGATTTGCAGACAGAAACTGAGTACTCCAACAGTATGACTTGTGAAACATGTACAAAAAAAAGTTGTGATACAATATCTTAAAAAGAAAAAAGAAAATATGTGAACTGTGATGCAAAAACTGAGTTCTCCATCAGTAGGACTTGTGTAACATGTACAGCTGCTTTAGTACAAAAAAAAGTTGTGATACAATATCTTAAAAAGAAAAAAGAAAATATGTGAACTGTGATGCAATTCTCTTCCCATCGTTGGTCCCTTCAAGAAGTTGCAAAGGCTTCTTGGCTACATTAGCTCAGCTTTCTGTTACTAATTGCAAAGAGCCAATATCTCAGAACAAGCTGACTTGGAAGGAAGGCAAGATCAGCAGACCTTGAAAAAACTAAATTAGAGGGAACACATTTTTCTTTTCTAAAAAGTGATCTGCATCTATACCTTAATGGAACCCAGCATACCATCTAATGCACCAAGGAAAATATGACATCTCTGATGAGTTCTGCCATGAATCACAAAATAAAATTGGGAGAAAGTATTAACTTGAAAATGACTAAATGAGCCATGATACCAATACAGCTTTCCTAACAGAAAGGCCAGGGAACTCCTGACAGAAACAGTTCACAGGATTTCCAAACACTAAGCTGTAGATCCCAAGGTCTTTAATCTGGATATAATTGCCCTGGACACCATTCTGTTTTGTCATATCAACAAAGTAATACATGTGGATGATATTATTTGGAAAAACATCATCACAGGGCAGATTTAGACAGAAATGTGTTCTTACCTGGTTGTTGCTAGCTTTTCTCCTTTTTTCCAGTCCCAAAACACAATGGCATGATTATCATCTAGACCAACAGATGCCAAACATTTTCCATCAGCTGTCCAGAAGGAATATTTAATGTTAGAGGTGCTAAGTCTTTAACTGAAAATATAACAGGAAATGAAGAGAACAAATACATTGCAACATGAGCTTCAAATGAGGTATTATAAATGAATCAAAAAAGAAACTAATATTCTGTGAGACTAGGGGTCAGGTTCACTGGTGGTGTTCAGTTCCTAGAGCAGACTGTCTACAGAATTAGTTTGATTTTTTTTTTAGTATTTCTGTTCCCTATCAAACCACTGATCTTTCCCAAAGGCAGACACACAACACTCCTGTGTGTTCATACAAGGATGGTAGGTAGGGTCAAACAAGACTAAGAAAATCGATTTCATAAAGTCCAAGTACTCCAAAATCACACTACACTTTATCTGAAACACTTCTCATCAGATGACATTTCTTTTCTTCTCCTTGAAATGCTGACGAGTGTTATTAAGTGTCTAATGAAACGGGTGGTGAAAAGGAAAAAGGTTCACAGTGAGTGAAACAGGCCTAGATGGAAGGAGTGTAAGTAGGCAGGAAGGAATGAGGTTGAAAAACAGGACAGGAAACCCAGACTGAGTTTATAAACAAACAAACAAACAAGACAAGACACAAAAAGTTAATGAGAAAGGAAAGAACAGCAAGGGAGACAGCAAGAACCATTCTGCAACAGTTTTAGTGAGATAATGTGCTATGAAGATAGCTGATACAACAGGTAAATATGCATTATGTAAGAAGTATTATTTAAGAAAGATGCATATTTGCATATTTTGATGACAATAATTATTTTAGGGGTAACTCAATTATGCAAATGGAACATAGTTGACAAAAGTTTGTTGGCAAGAATTTAAAAACTCTATTTACTTGAAACAGGAGGTTTTAAGCATTAACATGGGCTATTTTATTACACTGATTAATATCCAAAGTTATAGATGTTAAATTAACCACCAGAGGGCACAACCAATCATCACATGAATGCAATTATAATCTTTGAATCCTAATGTCATCAGAATGGTCCCACAATCTCCTTTCAGAGCTAGGTTACAGGCCACAGTGGATCAGCAATTTCATTTCTGAATTTCAGCTCTTGGATGGATGCCAGGGCTCCTCTTTTGATAATGGAGTATGACTCAGTTCCACAAACTCATCTTTGGGGAAGTAACACTTGTTTCATACAGCCCTGCCTCCTAAGTGTGACCTGTCCTAATGAATTCCTATCATATTTCTAGAGAGAAGGAGATAAATTACATTTAATTGAAAAAAAAAAATCAGTGAAGAAAAGGATAATTCAGCTAAAGTGATCTTTTTTTTTTATATTGAAAAAGGGAGAATAAATTTGTAAGCACATTTACAAAGATGCAAAAGTTTGTAAGTCACCATATGGATGATGTTTTTCAGTGCTGAGTACAGGAATTACCCTTTGAGAACTGAGACAACGTGTCACCCATCTCAGAGAGACAAGAGCAACAGCAGGCAACTGTTCCCACATTTACTTCTGTAGACCCACAGAAAAAGGTGGAATTGTTAGCAAACCTGAAAAACTGTATGAGCCTCCAGACAACATTTCCATCTCATTTATACACTTCAGGTCACCACTCTGCCTGCTTGTAAGCTATTGTACCCCATGGAGACAGCTATTAGAGTCCTAGCTGTGCTCATGGTATTATGTATTAGAAATAAAAAGAATCAATTACTGATTGATTGAAAAAAGGCCCATGGGTGACTTCACTGCACACACTGCTTTAATCAAAGCTGTCAGAAGACTTTCTGTAAAACTTGAATTGGCTTTAAAACTGTTTAGCTATTCAAAATAAATTTCATCATAAGGATTCCTTTTTAATTAATTGTTTAGATAAATGTAGGTCACAGCTTACCTGAAAAATCCAGTGCACATACTCCTCTCTGATGCTGGCCTTTGAGCAACGATAAACATTTCAGAGTCTGTGTGTCCCAGACGTGGATAGCAGCATCTCTTCCAACCTACATCAGAGGATTGATCAGAATCTCTGCTCACAGAAGTTCAAAGCACACCAACATCAATAATTAGCACTACCACATCTTCAAAACACTCCAGAGGTAACTAGTTTTCCACTTGCTCTATTTTATTTTTCAAGATCTAGCTTCTTTTTTAGAGAAGTATTAGTAGGTAGTCTCTAAAACATCAGTATGATATTAATGATTTAATTTATCATGATACATGAATATACTGGATACATCATATTCAGTACCAGATATCAACAGAGTGCCCAACATAAAATGGCTGTTAGATCTGAGTAAGGCTTTTGAATGCTACTACAGTACAAAAATAATGGGACTGACTCCCAGGGTGCAGATAAAACACAGCTCCTGCATGGTACAGATGAAAGCAGAGGTTCAAAGGGAATATAAGATTTTTTTTTGCAAGGCCACAGAATAAGACTGGCAGTTTTTCTGTTAGACAGAAATGACTTAACAATCACCTCAAACAGTTTCCAGTCCAGTACTCCCCAGCAGTTTGGCAGGGATACAGGAAACAACAAGCAGCTTCCCCATATTTAGGAGGAAACACTATACTGAAGGACAAAGAGAACCACATTTTCCTAATGGTAAATTGTAAAGGGAATTTATTTCCTTGCTTTGCCAAGACTATAATTTCTAAACACCCACCTGTCCAGTAGCAACGTAGTCTTTCACTGGGTGAATGCTTAGGCTGAGGATGTCATCGTCATGACCAAGGTACAGCCTCTGGGTGTGCTGCTGCCTGTTATATACAACAGCCACAGCAGCAATATGGTACACCACTTCTCCAGTCTGGGTGTAGAACAAGTTGTTTCGACAGTCATAGCCTCTGTAGCTGAAGGAAATACAAACCAAGTCACAAACTGTTTCAAAACTACCCTGGGAACCTGTGGAATGCATTGTGCAGATAATTTGTGCATTAACCTGGGGAGAGCACAGCCGTGGCAGCCACCACAGCTCAAAAACATCCCAGCACACAGGGACAGAGACCACTCCCACCCAGAGCAGGCACTCATGAATCTTCACATGGGTTACTTCACACCTAACTCACAGATCAGCACTGATATCACAAAAAGAATAAATAATTTACAGGGATTTGTGTCCAGATTAAGTTTTACAGGGAACTGAATTCAAGCAGAAATTTGTTGGGTATCCCAGCTATCATGACCAACTTAGCAGAGAATCTTTGCCCCAGGAAACATGACATCCAGGCAACAGCTGGTTGCAAATGTAATTTTATAAAATAAAATGCTAATGTATTATTTATTACATGGCTACAGTATTATAACCACCTCTTGTTCCTTAACAAATACAACTGAAAACACAAAATCTCTGTCTGATATTCCAAAATTTACCCACAGTAATAATGACAAGCAAATTAATTGTAAGCGTTGAAAAATGCTTTGCTAAATGCTCTGACATGAATCAACATTGCTAGTCTGCTTTAACAGTCAGAGAAAACAAACATTGGCTAATATTACCCTACCCATGTATAAACTGCAACTTTAAACTGTCCTCAGGCGCTCGCTCTCTTTTAAGGAAGGGCACAGAATGGTTTTTCTCTTTACTTTGCTGTTTCAGCTGAGGTAGGTCTTCTTTGTAAACCTGAAGAGTAATGGTTAAAAGTTAATTGTACATCTCCAGTTTTTTAAATATTTGTATATATAAGTAAAAGTGACTAAGTATTAAATTATAAGTTAATGCAACGTTCAGTAGTTACAACACAGAGTAAGTCACTATTGCTCTCCACAGAACTTCAGATGATAAATCTTTTCCAGACAATGAAGTCCCCTGACATGTGATGTCCCAGAGCATTACTTGGGAGTAGTGGCAGCAGAATGTATTTTTTTCTAGAAGATCCCAGTGTCATGCAGTGAGAAGGAATTTAAATATTAACTGGAAATCTTAAAGTGTCTTTTAGCTTCTGATGTGCTTCAGTGTACGTACTCAAAGCTGAACATAATGAATTAATTGTATCCAGGGATTATGGTGAAATACACAGTAACCAGCAGCACTTCAGAGACTTGCCAATGTGTCCAGAATCCCAAAGTAGAAATACAGCTCTATAAATATGCTAAAGACACAACATACTATACCCTTAAATCTTTTATGAATGCTGAAACTCTGTGGGGCTGCTAGAGATGTCTGAAGCATCTTCAGAGCCGTGGCACCAAACAAAGTCCAGTAAAATGCTGAATTGCAGCTTCGTTGTTTGTTTGCTGTGCTGACATTTCTCAGTTTTGCAAAAGGACAAAGAAATTGCTGTTCCCCCAGAAATCAACCTGACTGCAAAGATGGAGTAATGGACTTTTACAAGACAGGTGTTCATATGACCAGCTGAGCTTTTGAACAGCAGCCAAACAGAACCTCAACTTGTATTGTGTCTGCCACTCACATGCACTGTGCTTTATCCTGACTGTTCTCACTGAACTCCCCTGGCTCCTCAGGGAATGCTACCAGTGAGACAGAAACCAGCATCATGGTTTCCTAATGCATCCCAAAATCTAGAATCCTCTATACTGCTTCATCCTTAGCATGAAGAAAACTAAACAAACCCAAACCAAATTCTCAAAATAACATCAATGTTTTTGTTTCCAAATGCTTTTGTAAATTAGTTCCTTTAACAAGATGTGAAGTACAGCTTATGCTTGGGGTTGTCTCACACTTCCTGAGTAAGAGGCTATTTTAAGTTGCTTCTTGCTTTTTCATGCATTAACCTGCCTGGAATATTGCTGTTTAACTGCCTACAACAGCTTTTTCACTTTCAGTTTTTAAACCCAGATGCCCTTTCTGACAGAGGCAGTGTGGAGGAGGATGCTCTCTGATTCAAATACAGATGGAAAATCAGGAGAAGGAGAAGAATTGTTAGGTGAGAACTAAAATACCCCATACACCCAATGAAGCAGAAGCCCTGCAGAAATGTGTGATCAGAATGCATGCACCTAAGAAGGGCAAAACTACGTTGTATGGGGGCATTTTCTAAGCTTCATGTACCTTTGTGACTCGAATGAAGTTTTCTAATGTAGTAGTGTGGGAGCAAATTGTTTAGATACCAGTGGGTGAAGCCTCACTTCAGGGAGCAGCAAGGTGAAAGAGAGGTACCATGGTAGCAAAGCCAGGTGAGAAGGTGCCCTCACAGAGGGGGGCACACCCCACAGTGCTCACCTGACACGGGCACTGTGGGTTTGGTGACTGTAACCAAATCTGGGCAATGGTGCTGATGGCCAGGCAAGCCCCCAGCAACACAGATCAGGACTGAGAGGGCAGGCTGAAGGGTGGGAGGGCATACCACCATTCCTGAAAAACCCAGGCACTCCAGAATACTTATGGGATTTGTCTTCCTGCACAGAAGCAATCTACCTTAATTTATCTCAGAATATGGTTGTACTGAAGACAGAAAAAAACCATTAAGCATATTGAGTGACTATAAGAGACCATTTTTGCTGGGTTCCCATAAACCAGGGCAATTTAAATTCTCAGACACGGTTCTTCTTGGTAATAAAAAAAGAATCTGTCACAAATAAATGTATTCTACAGGCTTCACGCTCATCAAGAGTATTCTGCTTGGAATACGTAGAAGTCATACAAAATTTCTGTGAGCTGTATTCTACAAATTTGGATTTTAAATTTGATAGGACTGAAAAGTCTTCTCTAACACTTACTGTGGGAAGAGCAATAAATTCTCACACAATCTTGTTTAATTTTGTGATTTTAAGATACTTTATTCTTAAGATAATTAAGATTCTTTATTCTAACATATAGTAGTATATACACTGATGTTTTGTCTGCAAACCTTTTTAAATTATCATCTCCAGTTAAAGTAAACTCTGTTTTTATGTATATTGGTTGCATAATCAGCTGACTACTGTCGAAATAATAATCTTTGAGTGGATTGATGAATTAGCTGCAAACTTCTTTTACTTTTCTTTACTGAACAGTCAGGGTTAATTGTCAGGTAATTGGCACAGTGTGTTAATTTTCACTCACCTGGCGATCATAGTTGATTTGAGCTTCCTGCTCAATGTCAGAGTCTAACTCTGGCACATCAGATAAATCTGAATCTGATTCTTCACTGTAGGAATCAACCCCACCCTCTGCATTAAAAAAAAATAAAATGAATCAATATGCTGAACACATCTAATCACAAGAAAATAGTATGTGATGTTTTCATGTAATTCAGCCTATGTGCAAAGCAGTACTGAAGAGCTTTGGAAGTGTAAGCAGCTTGTGAAAATCATGAGGGCTGACTGAATGTGTCAGGCTTCATTTCTGTTTCTCCTGTTTCAGTGCCCGGGGCTGGAAGGTGGCAGAGGGAAGGAGAATAACTGAGCAGCTACTGGTACTTTTCCATCATCTGAGAGAGTGCTGTATTCTCAACAGGCTTGGGAGTGAAAGCATACAGAAACTGTAAAGAACTTCCAGTGTGATCACTGCCTGTGTTTAAAAAGATCAGCTGGAACACAGGGGTTTTACCAAACAGGCAGGTACAGAGTGAAGTTTTGCTGAAGGGAATCCAACGTTCAGCAACTGCTGTTCTGTAGCTCATGAGACTTTTGGAGAGTATTATAAGTATCATGAACATAAGAAAAAAATTCTAAAGCACAGCTATCATACATATATCTGTGAAAGTGCACTGAAAAGAAAATTAAACAACTCAGCGTGTGTAGTCAGACTTCGGGATGCAAGTTAGATGGCTAATTTTGAGGGTTTCTGAGGTAGTAATCTCTCTCTAAATGTTTGGGGTTTTTTTCATATATTTTGACAAATACTGTTCATATATTCCTAACCATAGAATAAAGCACACTGCAGAAGAGTTTTTAATGCACCTTGCCTGAAAAAAAGTGGTGGCCTACAAAAAATAAAGTCCCAAACATGCCGAGTATATTTAATTCCAAGGAATTATAATAAAGATACTTTCAGTTAATTCAACCCAAGCTTTTCCACCAGTGCTGCATTCTAGGTGGCTTCTATTTAATGAACCCTTTGGAAGAGATCATTGTCACCTTGTGGAGGTGTTTCAAGGCCGCCGTTCGTTATCCCTTCGGGAAGGAATCGCCACTGGAAAACCGAGTGGTCAGCACCTCCTGTACTCACAGCCCACTGGAAGTCGTGGGACCAACGGACGTTGGTTACATGTGCTGAGTGGCCAATGTATTTCCTAAACTTAGCTCCTGGAAAAACACAAAAAATAGTATGTAAGAAGGAAAAAAATGAGCATTGAAATTAATAAAGTTATGTTTTAATAGAAAGTCTAAACACTCTTATGAGAATGATAAACACAAAAACCTTAAATGTCTCTTTTGATATTCTGCAACTAAAAGTGATTATAATACAAAATTATATAACATTAAATCATATAAACAATAGGTTCACTTCAGTTTTCAGAAAAGGCACTCAAATCTCAGCAGGA